ACGGCGGCCGGGAGAGGACTAACAGCCGCAGCCCGGTCCCGGGGATCGGCCGCGCGCTCCCGCCTCGCCGCTATATTTGCATACGAGGCCGGGCTAGAGGCTGGGGGCGCGCTTCTTAAAGGGGCCGCCTGGACAGAGGCGGGGCCTGCGGGGTCTTTGTCTCGCAGTCCTCCACGCCCTTCCTGCAGCTGCTGCTGAAGAAACCCGAGAGGCAGGGGAACCACGTCCTGCTGCTCAGTGCGTGCCTTCTCTCCGCATCTCTCAGGCCCGAGGGCGGGGCCCGGAACCCGCCTCCCGTCTCAGTTCCTGCCGGGGATGGACTGCATCCTTGAGTGGCTCCCAGGCTCCCCAAACTCAACCCCTTCCAAACTGGGCTGTCACCTTTCTCTGCGGCCTTATTGCTCTTTGGTCCACTCCAGTCAAAACCTGGGAGTTATTTCCCGCTTCCCTCGGCACCACAGCTAATCTTTTACGTAGGTACGTAGTCTTGCCAATCCTAAAATCTATCAGTGGTTCTCAACCTTCTGGCCCTTTAAATACAGTTCCTCAGGTTGTGACCCAACCATAAAATTATTTTCGTTGCTACTTCATAACTGTAATGTTGCTACTGTTATGAAGACAGGGATGGTAGGCAAGGGAAGGCTTCCTGGGAGATGACATCAGAGCTGATTTCTGAGAGATGAATAGCAGTTTGCCCGTTATACTCCTACTAAAGGCCCAGTGCATGAAATTTGTGCACTGGGGGGGTTGTCCCTCAGCCCGGCCTGCACCCTCTCGCAGTCCAGGAGCCCTCAGGGGACGTCCGACAGTTGCACATCCTTAGTGCTGCCGTGGCTTCTGGCTGAGTAGTGCTCCTGTGTTGAGCATCTGCCCCCTGGTGGTCAGTGCTTGTCATAGCGACCCGTCGTTTTGATGTTTGGTCGATTTGCATATTAGCCTTTTATTATATAGGACTAGAGGCCCGATGCACAAAAATTTGTGCACCCCGGGGGGGGGTCCCTCAGCCTGGCCTGTGCCCTCTCGCAGTCTAGGGCCCCTCAGGGGATGATCACCTGCTGGCTTAGGTCCTCTCCCTGGAGTATTGGGTCTAAGATGGCAGTCAGACATCCCTCTGGCATCCTGGGAGCCCTTGGGGGATGTCCACTTGCCAGCGGGGAGCAGGCCTAAGCTGCAGTCAGACATCCTTAGCGTTTCTGGCCCTTTAAATACAGTTCCTCGTGTTGTGACCCAACCATAAAATTATTTTCGTTGCTACTTCAGAACTGTAATGTTGCTACTGTTATGAATCGTAATGTAAATATCTGATATGCAGGATGGTCTTAGGCGACCCCTGTGAAAGGGTCGTTCGATCGCCAAAGGGGCCGCGACCCACAGGTTGAGAACCGCTGAAAGTATTTCTCACATCTGACCCTACTCCCCTGCCACCACCTGTTCAAACCCCGACTCTGCCGGTTCCCAGCCTTGAAATCCTGTTTCTTGTCCTTTCCGATGAGGCTGGTAATATTCATGTGATAGGTCTTGGTGAGGGTTACATGAGATAATGCATGTAGAACAGAGTCTGTTTTATACATGTTAACATTATTATTATGGCAAGCACTTAATGCAGAGGAAGCATTCAATAAATGAGCTACACTTGTGATGGTGTCTTCCCTCATAAGACTTGTAAGCTGTGTTAATCACCTGGTAGCTCCATCACTTAGCACAGTGCTTGGCACGTAATGGAAGTTCAGCCCTGGCCAGGCAGCTCGGTTGGTTTGAGCATGGTCCCATACACCAAGGCCGCAGTTATGATTTAGTAGATATTTAATTGATATTCAGAGCTTACAGTCCTGGGAGATGGACATTAAATGAGTAAATTCGGTAGTATGTTAGAAAGGAATGATTGCTGTGGAGGAAACAAGAAAGGGGAGGGCAGGTGGCAATTATATACAAGGCAATTAGGGTAGGCTTCACTGAGGTGACTTTTGAGCAAACACATGAAGGAAATGAGTGAATTAGTCAGGCATATGTCCAGAGAAAAGGGGCATTCCAGGCAGAGGAAGTCAGTGGAAAGGCCCTCAGGCACAAGCATGCATGCCTGGTGTGTTTAAGAAACAGCAAGGAGGCCAGTGTGGCTTGGACGGAATAGACGAGATCAGGATAAGAGAAAGGATGAAACATAAAGGATTGTTTAGCTTTATTCTGAATGAGATGGGAAGTAATTGGAGGGTTTGAACTTCAATTTTTATTGATTTTTAGAGAGAGAGAGGAAGGGAGAGAGAGAAACAACTATTTATTGTTCTGATTATTTATGCATTCATTGGTTGAGTCTTTTATGTGCCCTGACCAAGACCTAACCCGCAGTCTTGGTGTATCAGACAACATTCTAACTAACTGAGCTACCTGGCCAGGGCTGAACTTCCATTTTTAAAGAATCACTCTGGCCTGCTCTGTGAGAATAGACTGTAGGGTCACAAGGGTGGAAGCAGGGAGACCAGACATGAACCTATATGGCAATGACCTTAGCAAGAGATGTTAATGCAGTGGTTCTCAACCTTCCTAATGCCGCGACCCTTTAATACAGTTCCTCATGTTGTGGTGACCCCCAACCATAAAGTTATTTTTGTTGCTACTTCATAACTGTAATTTTGCTACTGTTATGAATCGTAATGTAAATATCTGATATGCAGGATGTATTTTCATTGTTACAAATTGAACATAATTAAAGCATAGTGATTAATCACAAAAACAATATGTAATTATATATGTGTTTTCCGATGGTCTTAGGTGACCCCTGTGAAAGGGTCATTCGACCCCCAAAGGGGTCGCGACCCACAGGTTGAGAACCGCTGTGTTAATGGTTGGTATCAGATTGAGGGAGGTGATGAGACATGGTTGGATTTTGGATTTGAAGTGAAAGTCAACAGGATTTGTTGACTGATGGATAGATGTGTGGGAGAGAAGATCAAGGATTACTCCAAGGTTTTTAATCTAGACAAATGGAAATGTGGAGTTTAATTCCACACATACACATCTGTTATAGATTTTACAACAAGTCAGGCCTTTCCTTCTGGGGGAAAAAGGCCTGGAAATGGTGGGGTTGGGGTGGGGGGGAGGAGAATGACCAGGTCACAAAACAGAGTAGAAACCAGGGCAGATATTTGTTTTCCCAGCTAAAGAAATTATGGAAAGGGAGGGGGGGGTAGGAGGAGGTAGGGGGTTAATGGGGGGATGAAGACACATTTGTAATACCTTAACCAATAAAGAAATTAAAAAAAGAAATTCTGGCTCTAACCGGTTTGGCTCAGTGGATGGAGCATCGGCCTGCGGACTCAAGGGTCCCGGGTTCGATTCTGGTCAAGGGCATGTACCTTGGTTGTGGGCACATCCCCAGTAGGGAGTGTGCAGGAGGCAGCTGGTCAATGTTTCTCTCTCATTGATGTTTCTAACTCTCTATCCCTCTCCCTTCCTCTCTGTAAAAAATCAATAAAATATATTTAAAAAAAAAAGAAATTCTGGTAGGAGAGCTAGTTCTGGCCTCTTTAGAGCACTACAATTGAAATGTATCTCATTAATTTCTGAATCCTTAAAGCCTAATACTACCTGGCATATGATAGGCATTCAAAATAAGTATTAATTCAGTTGAATTGAGATAATGGCAAAAAGACTCTTGAAAGGAATGCCTATTGAGAAGGGAAGCTAAATAGTTTCAGGAATATTCCATAGAAGCCTGAGGACAAGCCATACCTGGGAACTCATTTTAACTCAGGTCAATAAACTTTTTGGAGCATCTATTATATCCTGGGCACTAGAGATACAGAGATGCCACTCATTATTTGGGGAGACAGAAGAATCAATAAATTATGGTACAGTGTGATAATATCAGTATGTATCAAGTTCAGAGGTGGATGGAAGGTGACTAACTCTGACAGGGATGGTAGGCAAGGGAAGGCTTCCTGGGAGATGACATCAGAGCTGATTTCTGAGAGATGAATAGCAGTTTGCCCGTTATACTCCTACTAAAGGCCCAGTGCATGAAATTTGTGCACTGGGGGGGTTGTCCCTCAGCCCGGCCTGCACCCTCTCGCAGTCCAGGAGCCCTCAGGGGACGTCCGACAGTTGCACATCCTTAGTGCTGCCGTGGCTTCTGGCTGAGTAGTGCTCCTGTGTTGAGCATCTGCCCCCTGGTGGTCAGTGCTTGTCATAGCGACCCGTCGTTTTGATGTTTGGTCGATTTGCATATTAGCCTTTTATTATATAGGACTAGAGGCCCGATGCACAAAAATTTGTGCACCCCGGGGGGGGGGTCCCTCAGCCTGGCCTGTGCCCTCTCGCAGTCTAGGGCCCCTCAGGGGATGATCACCTGCTGGCTTAGGTCCTCTCCCTGGAGTATTGGGTCTAAGATGGCAGTCAGACATCCCTCTGGCATCCTGGGAGCCCTTGGGGGATGTCCACTTGCCAGCGGGGAGCAGGCCTAAGCTGCAGTCAGACATCCTTAGCGTTGCTGAGGAGGCTAGAGAGGCTCCCACCACCACCACTGTACTGGCAGCTGTCAGCCTGGCTTGTGGCTGAGCAGAGCTCTCCCTGTGGGAGCGCGCTGACCACCAGGGGGCAGCTCCTGCACGGAGCGTCTGCCCCCTGGTGGTCAGTGTGTGTCATAGTGACCAGTCATTCCCAATCATTCTGTTGTTAGGGTCAATTTGCATATTACCCTTTTATTATATAGGATGGGAGGAATAGGTTGAGTCTGGTAATTGTCTTACTGGGGGTGGCAGCAGAGGACTGTCTTGCTGTGCACTTATGTGGAAGGTGCTACACCTTGTACATGGCGAATACTCAGTAAATGTTTGCCAAATTGCTTTTAGGGCATTCAAACTACCCAGGGTAAGAGTTTGCTCAAATTAACTGTTTTGCATGTGACCCATTATCTGTGGCTCCTGCCCATCTTGTACAGGTTGACTATTGATTTTGCCTGCCCAGCATCTATTCATTCCTTCTTCTGGTAAGAAACCTATAATTTTCTTTGGGGAACTACCCTTTCTACCACTCAGTTCATGAGGTTTTGTGGGGCTGCTTTACTCTGAAGTTCCAGTGTGAGCAGATGCCCTGTCCTGTTGGATCAAAGCATTCCATTCCTACCACTCCAGCGACAGTGACTGGCTGTGTGTGTGTGTGTGTGTGTGTGTGTGTATGTGTGTGTGTGTTTGCGGGGTAGTGGTGTTAGTGCCGAATGCAGCCAAATGCGACATAACCCTAGGATCTTTGCTAGAAGTATTGGGAAATAATTTTAACTTCTGGAATGGCTAAGCAAATTGGTCATAAACAGAGTTGTTGGTATCTTGCTACTGTTGGGAGGAGCTTAACTGACAATGAAGGAAACACAGCCGTACCTGAAGCCATTATGGACTTTTCTATTACAAAACTCTTGTTTATATTTGGTGTCTGACAACTGCATCTGAAATAATCCAGAATATACACTTCTATCCTAGTCTCTAGCAGTAACATCTAGGGTCTTAGTCCTTTCACATCTGCCTCCTACAGGCTCTCTGGGGGAAATAATTGTAAGAAGGTAAGATGCTGGTTAGGTTCTGTCCTCCACATCTGCAGCCACACATTTCAGCTCTTTAGTGACCTTAAAGCCCTCACCTTGCTTCTCCGTGTCATTTCCTGATTAACTTGCTCTCTATTGGCTCGTCCAGGAGTCTTGAGTTTTTGAGGAAATGCCACTGGCTCTAGGCCAGTCCTGTGTTATTATTGGGTGTCAGGAGTCGGAATCTCTTTCTTGGTCATGTTATTCTGGGGCCAACCAAAGCTGCACATCTGATCTCAGTATCAGTAGTTTTCTACTTGGAATATGCAGACCTCTGATGGTATACAGTGGGGATGCTGAAACCACAGGGCAAAACACAGTGCTGCTTTCTGGAGTGTCAGTTTTATTCATGAAAGTTTTTCAATATTAAAGTGTAGTTATTCATAGCACCTTCTCTGAGCCACACTTAGATGAATTAAATCCTGGGTCCACCATTTATTAGCTGCACGACCTTAGGATTACTTAACCTCTCTGTACTTCAGTTTCCTCTATAAGGGTAATATCATTCATATCTTATGAGATTATGGTAGAAATTTAGTCCATGTAAATGACTTAATAGAACAATGCCCAGTGCATCATAAGTGCTATTTAAGTGTTAGCTATTGTTGTTAAAACATGAATATATTATGAAGTACAAAAAACAAACAAACAAAAAAAACAAACCCACACAAACTAGTGTAACTTAAAAATCCAAGACTCTGCCCTAGCTGGTTTGGCTCAGTGGATAAAGTGTTGTTCTGCGGACTGAAGGATCCCAGGTTTGATTCTGGTCAAGGGCACATGCCTGGGTTTCAGGCTTGATCCCCAATGTGGGGCATGCAGGAGCCAGCCAATCAATGTCTCTCTCTCATCATTGATGTTTCTATCTCTCTCTCCCTCTCCTTTCCTCTCTGAAATCAGTAAGAATGTGTGTGTGTGTGTGTGTGTGTGTGTGTGTGTATACATACATATATATATATAATGCTATAGAAATAGAAAGGCATTTAAAAAAATAAAGTGTCACAGGGATGTGATGTAGAGTATAGGGAATATAGTCAATAATAATATTGTTTTTAAATGTTTTTATTGATTTTAGAGAAAGAGGGAGAGATAGAAACATCAATGTGAGAGTGATACATTGATTGGCTGTCTCCTACACACCCCCTCCTGGGGATTGAGCCTGCAACCCAGGCATGTGCTCTGACCAAGAATTGAACCTTTGACCTTTTGGTGCATGGGATGACTTTCAGCCAACTGAGCCACACTGGCCAAGGCTATTCAATAATATTGTAGTAACTTTGTAGGGTGACAGATAGTTACTATACTTAATGTGATTATTTTATAAGGTATTTAAATGTTGAATCACTATGTTGTACACCTGAAACTAATATTGTATTTGACTATATTCTTTTTTTTAAAATCCTCATCCAAGGATATGTTTTTATTAATTTTATTTATATTTATTTATTTAATCCTCACCTTAGGATATTTTTCCCATTGATATTTAGAGGGAGTGGAAGAGAGAGGGAAAGACAGAGAGAAATATCGATGTAAGAGAAACACATCGATTGGTTGCCTTCTGCACATGCCCTGACCAAGGCCTGGCCCGGGGAGGAGCCTGCAACTGAGATATGTGCCCTCGACCGGAATCAAACCTGGGACCCTTTGGTCTGCAGGCCAATGCTCTATCCACTGAGCCAAATTGACTAGGGCTGTTTTTATTAATTTTAAAGAGGGATAGAGAGAAAAGGATCAGTATGAGAAACATTGATTGGTTGCCTCCCATACACACCCTGATTGGGGATTGAACCTGCAACCTAAGTATGTGCCCTGACCAGGAATTGAACCTGCAACCTTTTGGTGTATGGGACATTGCTCCAATCAACTGAGCCACCCAGCCAGGGCTCAACTATATTCTTTAAAAAATAATACTTACATGTGATTCTTACTATAAGAGCCCACAAATGAGAATCCACGTTCTTCTAATTTCCGGGGCCATTTTCACTTCATGTATGCATTAGTCTCCCCCATCCACCTTCCACATCTTAGGGCCACCTACCCTTTGTAATCCAGACATTTGCCTTCCATTTGATTATTACAAAGATAATGTATGCAAGCTTTAAAAAATAACAATTTCTTCAGTTTTTAAAAAATAGGGTTTTGTTAGGTAATGTACTTGGTGGGGAGTGGGCAATGAAGATAGAAGGAACAGCATGAGCAAAGGTCCAGAGGTTATGTTCCAGAAGAGCAAGTCCATTTTGGCTTGAGAGTAATTGAAGATGAGGCTGGAAAAACAGATTAGGTTTGTATCACTTGAGGATCTTAAATGTTACATACATTGAAGAGTTTGAAGTTGATTTAAACTCTCTAAGCCTGATTCATCTGTAAAATTAGGATAATTTCTATCTCACTGAATTGTGAGGATTAACGACGGAGAGAAACAAACAGATGGGCGAGATATCCTATAGAAGAAACAGAATGGCTGTCTTACAAGTTGAAGACGAAGAGGTGGGATAGAGCAAACCATCCCTCCTCTCAGGGTGGCCTATAATTCAAATGGTCTCACTGTCGAGATCTATTTCTGCAAGGCACATATCAACCACCACCAGAGGGAGCTCATACAAAGGAATCAGAGCTCCCAGCTCCACAGGAAAATTGTGGTGGGCAAGTCTGGGCAGGGGTGTGGAATCCTGAACCCAATCCAGAGTCTCAATGATAGGAGGGGGCATGGATCTAGGTGCCCCCTCTCTGGCTCCGTCTTCTTAGACCCATCTTAAGGACAGGGGTTGGACATGCTGCTACAACCTCCTAGAGCTTAGCAGCTAGCCAGATATAAGATCTCTGGGATAGGGGTAGAGGATGAGGGCCAGATCTAGTTTGGGGGCCTGAATTTCTGTGTCGCAAGTAAAAAGAGCTTTTCACCAACTCTGCTTATAAGGAGTCCAACTCCTTAGGATACGGGTGCCAGGCAGGTAGTCTATCTAGATCTGGGAACTGTAGAAAAGGAGCCGGCCTGCAGTGTGAGGATGAGGAAGGCTAGGCAGTGCCATATCTGACAATCAGTCATTATAGTGGTATCTACATTGTCTCAGGACTCTAACCTTTAGGTCTATCAGCAGTGGTTCTCAACCTTGCTAATGCCGCGACCCTTTAATACAGTTCCTCATGTTGTGGTGACCCCAATTTCATTGTTACAAATTGAACATAATTAAAGCAGTGATTAATCACAAAAACAATATGTAATTATATATGTTTTCCGATGGTCTTAGGTAACCCCTGTGAAAGGGTCTTTCGACCCCCAAAGGGGTCGCGACCCACAGGTTGAGAACCGCTGGGTTATGGAGTCTAGCTTAGTGCTTCATACAATTTTTACAAAACCTCCTTTGTCTTCTCCACTAACCCAATGTGAAAAGTGGGGATTTTTGTGTTGCAGATATTACAGTGAAAGCCTAGAGACATTTAGCAATTTACCCAAGATCTAAAAGCACTCAAGGGCAGAGTTGGGCCCGAAGCAGTAGGAGTGGCTCTGAGGGGCCCAGGAAAGGGAAGGCGGGCCAACAGAGCAAGAGCCTTCAGAACTGCCTCAGCAAGCACTGGCTCTTGGCCAGTTTTCATACCCACTGCTCCCGCTGGCTCTGCTGCTAGGCCCCAGGCTGCCAGCCCAGACGCCATACTCCTACCCTAGTCCCCTGAGAGCCCATCACCCTGGCAACAGCTAGAGAAAAACCCAGCTAAAATATTTATGGCTCAAAACAGTCCAGAGGCTTCCGATGGGGGGAGGGAAAAAGTTGATGTCATCCCTTCTCTGCTTGCCCAGGAAAGTGACTGACATGCAGGGCAGCTGGGTGTGCGGGCCAAACCCAATAGGTCAGGGTTCTCACAGGAAGCTCCCTCCGGCTGCAACTGTTAATGAAAGGAGGGAGGAGTCTGTATGTGACAGGTGACAGGACTGGGTAAGAAACACAAGCCAGATAAAAGGAGGAAGGAACTCAAGCATTGAACAGTATTGTGTATAGACTCTGTGCTAGGTATTTCACACACATTCCATTTGCTTCTCAGATCCCATTCAGTGGATAAGGATTATCCTACTTTTACGGAGTAAACAGGCCCTGAAAAGCACACGGTGAGTGATGAGCTAGGATTTGAATCCAGACCTGTTTGGCTTTAACCCTGTGAACTTTCTGCAAGATTTCATGGCTCTCAAGTAGATATCCTGTATTTGGGGTTGAGCATATGGCTGCCTAGGAACCTAGCTGCTTCTCAGATAGTGACACCAGCTCTGTGGCTTCATTTACCAGTGACCAGGATGTCATATGATTCCCTAGCTCCTTCACATCCCAGGAATTCTCTCAGTTCTGGGTAAACTTGATGGTTTGTCATCCTTAACAAATCTTTTACACAAATACAATGCTTTACTGCTTCAAAATGGTTGTGGCTGGAAGAGGTACAAACAGGTCAAAAGCAGGGACTATGAAAACCTAATAGCCCCCCCCCTTTTATTTATATTTTGGTAAATCCTCACTTGAGGATATTTTTTCCATAGCTTTTTAGAGAGTGGAAGGGAGGGCAGGGAGGGGGAGAGAAACATCCATATAAGAGAGACACATTGATTGGTTGCCTTCTGCATGCGCCCCATTGGGGGCTGGGGATTGAAACCTGCAATCCAGGTACAAGCCCTTGTCTAAATGCTGAGCAATACTGGCCAGGGCTGATAGCCCCTATTTTTAACTTTAGGCACTGTTATTTATCCTCCTTGAGCCTCTGTTTTCTCATATGCAAAATGAGTATAATGAAATGGGGGATTAAGTGAAACAGTGCATATAAATGCTTG